AGTTCTTCATCAACAAAACTTTAATCCGTAATGGATTAAGAAGCAGATAATAATTTCGTCTCTAGTGATCGTTAAAGTTAACAAATATAACAACACGTGTGCGTGTAAATGACTTGAGCGGAATACCCGGATTTCTGTACTGCAAATAACATATGAAACATTTCTTTACAAAGAATCTTTTCTGTTTTCATTCCTCCAATTTGACACATACCTGTCCATGAACTGCGTCAACCGTACATACGCTATACATGCCCCTTCTTCACCCATCACATGCACATTCGGATTTAACATCGTTGTGTGCAGCTGGCCTTTCCGCGGGTTATTGTTCCCTGAAAAGCTATCAAAATTTACCCGCTGCAATGTGAACATGAACACTGGCGTCAAGGTATTAAACAAAAAGTTTTTTCAAGTGTAAACATCGATTAAATGTGCGGCACATACGCAATAACATTAGTCAGCTGTCGCGATACAACATATACGTACGTCAGCACTGACATTACTTCTAGAAAACTTTGCAGATAAATAGAATTAGCACATAGCTTATTCCACTTACCATAATCAAAATAGAATCGATGGAATTCGACTCCTTCAATGAGATTCCCTAGGGCTTCCGGTTCGAAACACGTCATCGCTGGATCGCATAACTTCCTAAGATCACCTCCTTATATCCACTTCAACAACAGGTCGTACCCTAATCTCGTACTTATGAGCATTAAGACAAATCATGCTAGGATGAGCATAAATCAGGCTAGGACTTCTACAAAATTTCATACAGATCATTGACTAGTTTTAAATGCAGGTAGTGTGCATGAATCAAACAATCGCACGTGACAGTGCGGCAACGCCCTTCCTTAGAGTGAACCATTCACTGTTCTTTCCAAAGCTATGGTCATGGAATACAGAAGGCAATGAGGAGCCACAATTATGCAGATAATGAGATAATTCGAAACTAACGTGTAGACATCGAAATCTTTGCACGAGATCGCATCCAGTAACTGTTGCGTGACCCGTACGATTTCTTGCTTCTGAGCTGAAATTACTTGA